TCCCCCCCCCCTTTCCCCTCAGTACAATGCCGCAGTAGCTCAAACGGCAGGAAGAGTCCAATCGGCGTTCTGCCGCACGGGAGGCTGCTGCAGCAGAGTCGCCCCAGAGTAACTCGCGCGCATGCTCTATGATCCACCTTTCCAGTAATACGATTGATTCATTCATCGCGAGTCAGTGTCTTGCCAGTGACAGTCATTGCAAATGTCTTTGAGAGCAACTCCTGTATGGTGACACTTTATGTGGGGAGTCGGCCACTTCCCTGCCCCTTTGCCTGCCCTCCCCCTCCCCCGCCCCCCTCTTGGACCGCTGTTCGCGTGCCGCGGCCTGCGCGGCCGCCGTGGCTCACGACGGCGCTGCTCGACTCCAACCTAACGCCTCTCCTCCCCCTTGTGATTGCAGTGGTACAAGCAGAACCGCGAGCTGAAGCGCCGCTCCACAGCCATCCTGCAGAAGGTGGTCCAGGCGCAGCCCGACGGCGCGCTCCTCGACCTCCTCGCCGACGAGACTGACGCAGCCGAGGCTGCCAAGGACGAGGATGACCTGGAGGACCTGCGCGCCACCGTCAAACGTAAGTCAAGACTCCGGTCGCTGGAGCCGTCTGGCAGGGTTGGCAGAAGAAAAGTAGGCAATAGCCCAAACACAGAGGTATGGAGCTGGCTGCGTCCACTCCTGACTACCAGGCAACATTTACACATGAGAAGGGGTTGCCTAGTAAGCAGGCGTTGATGCAGCCAGCTCCACGCCTGGGTGTTTGGGCTACTTATTGCCAAATTTTCTGGTGAAACTGCCCTCTGACGCCGCTGACAAGGGGACTTAGGCAAGTGTAAATTCCCGATCGTGCCCAAACTCGGTATATTTGCTTCTTATCTATGTAGGTGACGAATGCCGACCGAATTTTTTCCTGAGAGTCATGTGCCGAAACTCCCTATAAAAGCGTGTAATTTCACAAAATACAAATTTCTACTTTTGTGCAAATATTAAGTGATATTCTGACTCAAAATGAGCGGTTTTGGGGGGGTAGTTCCTCTGACACTTTTCGATTTGAGACCTCCTTCCGTCATTTTTGGCCCAAATTCAATATTTTTTCCATTATTTCCTCCCCTAAAATACCCTAGAATTTGACTCTCAGGAAAAAATACTACCGTCAGTCGTCATCAACATAGGTAAGAAACAAATATACCGAGTTTGGGCAAGATCGGGAATTTACACTTGCCTAACAAGGGAAGGTTTTTAGGTGGTACACACCAATTTCGCTGGGCGCGATACATATTGCAGGGGACATATGTCGATTAAGATTCGCACCAGTTTTAGCTGCCCA